ATTGCACCCCCAGAATCTGGACTGCTAGCAGAGTCTGACTCACATACTGGTGAAGATAAAGGATTGTCCACCATCCCTGAGGGCAGCAGGCCTGTTTAGAGGGTACAGGAACGGACCACGTGCAGCTCTGCCTCCTGTATGTGGAGGGCTGTTGGTGTTGCCCCAACGTCCGAGGCATTTACCTCACTCTGCTTCATGACAGGACTGGCCCTGGTTAGACCCAAACTCTCCTTGAAATGAAACCTAGAATTAGGTTTCTAGGTTTCTAGTGCTGGTGGTAATCGTGCTGGTTGCCAAAGCATATGTCTCTTTGATTTTGATCATCCAGCTTCTCTCTCAGACGGTAACTATATGTACTATGGCTGAGTTAGGAAACACAGTCCATTTCCTGCAGGCTCCATTTTCTGTTTCTGCCAAGCATGTGATTATCTCCATATTTTGCTGTCCCTGGCAGGCAGCAGCACAAGAAGCTGGTGCTGCACTGAACTTGGTGGGTCCCAAGTTGTAGGAACTTGGAGTTTAAAAAAAGAGGAGTTTGTTGTACAGAAAGGCCAAATGGCAGAACTTTAGAAATAATGATGGCTATCTAAACAACTACATTTGCCCAGGAAAAATATAGGCACAGAATCAGACACAGAAAACACAAAGGATGCAAATGCATTCTCCATAAACATTCAGCTTCGACTTGGCTATCAATTGAAACCATCAAGCCAAGTCACAAAATTTGGTTCCTGTTTTAAAAGAGTTGTGTGTTTTGTAGTCAAACAGGATTCAGAAATCCAGGCTGTGTTCCAGACTCCAAGTCAAAACAGCACATCATCTGTGGCATCTGGTTAGCTGGCAATTGAGCCAAATGTGAAGGCTTCTTTAAATACAAAATCCCCTTAAAAGAAAATAAAAAAGGGAGACAAGCACCATTTGTTTTTGACATCATAGCTCAGCCAGGGCCAACTGATTCCTGGGATTCAGCTCTGGGGTTTGCACAGTCTATAGGGAGCCTGATTTTTAGGCCTTCCCGACAAAACCCGATTCCTTAGCCAAAGCAAAGAGGCAGTGTGGTGACAGTGGGATGAGTGGAATTGCTGTAGGACTGGGGAAACAAGGCTGGAAAATTCTTCAGGACAGGAACCCAGGGAAAGTGAAAATAAAGTTTTATGAAATCGAGTCAGTAAGAATAAGTATGTAAAGGGAGATTTAGCATAATATTTTATTTGTGTATATGTGTCTTTTGTGTACATGCCCTCCATGTATATGTGGAGATTGCCAGCTCCAGGGTTTGGAGGGCCCTTAGGTGGTGCTGGTGGTGCTTATGCATCAAAAAGTGCTGATCTGAGGCAGGTCCAAAGGCCAAGAGAACAAAAAATACTTTCCATATGCTAATGTATATATGCTCTAAAGTCTCTCTCTCTCTCTCTCTCTCTCTCTCTCTCTCTCTCTCTCTCTCTTTAAGGAACTCTGTCTCCTAAGTACAGACTATTTGTAAAAAGGGATGCATAGACAGGGGAGAGAAGGGAATTCGATTTCAGAAAAAAAAAGTTCAGGTAGATTAATGAGGGGCAGCAAGAGGTGAAGCACATGCAGGGGGCAGGACGGGGAGAGAGAGAATCAGAGCCCATGATCTGTATTTCAGCAAGAGCCCATGGAGATCAGGGTGGCAGTACAAATGGCTTCCCAGAGGTTTGGGGCTCCAGATTAAAGATGCAGGGTTCCAGCCCTAGTAGGTTGCCTCCTAGCACCACCTTGGCAAGACAGCCCTTCTCTTGGCGACTCTACCTCCTTACTGCTGTTGTCACCAGCTGCTGTTGATCCTCTTCATTGTCTTCCCCAGGATTGCTGCTGCTCGGTAGTCTGGGAACTGTGTGTCGTGCATGTGCGCTCGGATGAGATTCCCAGGCGCACACAAGCGTTTGAGGGCTCTGGTGGGAATGATGGCTTAGACTCAGAGGAAAGGGGGTTGATAGTTGTCCCAGTAGTGGCTCAGAGTTCTCATTCTGATATTGGAGTTGTTGAGACTAGTGAGGCCCCAGGTGGCCAGCTACTCCTGGAGAGCCAGGTCAAGACAGTGGTGGATCAAAGCACTTCTAGGACAACCACTGAGCCCCCTCCCATTCCTGATTGTGGGAAAGAAGCTGATGGAGAACAGGCTGGGGAGGGTTCCTCAGGAGTTTGGGATGCTCGGGCACAGGCCAGCTCGGTGAACTGGAAACTCGAGGGGAGAAGCAATGTTTACACATGTCCATAGTGCACCTCCCTCCAGAGACCGGCCCTGAAGGGTTCATAAGCAAAGTTGGGGTGATTACGGTCAGAGCGAGAGGTCAGCTTTTTACCCTGAGTGTGTTTCAGAGCTTGTGAATACTTTGCAGCTGTTTGGAATAAAGACTCTTTTAACAACTGTTGAAGTACTTGCCTTCGCTGGGAAGGGATGCCAGGCTCACAACACTGTGGCATCGACTCTTCCTTTCACAGCCACTCTTGTCTTTGTCAGAGTGAGAGGCAGGGGAAGGAAGAGGTTGCGATCATGATGTGGAAGAGCAGGCCCAGGGGGTCTTACCAGTGGACCAATGTGCATTGCTGGCCTTTGGCAGGGGTCCTGGTGACGCGTACATGTGAGGCCAGCACTGTGTGCGCGTGTGTGCACATATGCCTGTGCATGCACATTGAGGGAGACAGAAAGCCAGCATTAGAAGGGCTCAGACTCTGGTACATTAGAAACACTTTTTAAAAACCCCTTTAAAAAGTTTTAAAAACCTTCTCAGTATCCTACAAGCCCTTACTCATTTTCCACTTAACCTACTTTATGGGGTTCTTTTCAAAGAAAAACACCCGTACATACAGCCTGAGCATTTGTAGGAAAGATCCACACAGACACCTGCTAAATTTATCATGCCTATGTATAGATGTCATCCCTTTTCCACTTGTAAACATCCCGTGTTTACCTACTGCTGCTTCCATCATTTTTTCTCACCACAGAAAACCTATTAAATAAAAAGCTTGAATTGCTCCACAATTCCTGATCCCTTCTGTTGGGGGCAGCAGCTTTCTTTCATATGGCACAGGGATGTGGAACCTCAGAACCATTGCCAAATCCAGTTTACCTGGAGCTGAATTCCCCAAGTGACTACACCGCCTTATTTTATTTGTTTGTTTGTTTGCTTGTTTGGGATATTTCTAACCTGTCCAATCACTATGTGTCTCTGGACAGCTTACAGACAAAATTCAATAAATACGACAGTATAAAAGATCATAAATACCCCAAACAATAACAAGACTAATAACCCATGACTAAAACATAATTAAAATCTTTTAAACATTAAAATACTGAGTGAATAAAAAGGTCTTGACCTGGCACCGAAAAGCATACAATGTTGGCGCCAGGTGGACCTCTCTGGGGAGCGCATTCCATAGCCAGGGTGCCATCGCAGAAAAGGCCCTCCTCTGAGTATATTCTCTCCTAACCAACTTCAAGGAGGATTCCCGGAGCAGGGCCTCTGCTGCAGATTGTAAGGGGCGGGATTCCGCCTGCCCTATTTGAATTGCCTCTCCTCAAGAGCTGTGCAGGGCTGCTATGGGTAGGGCATCCTGGAGGGATTTCATTCTTGGAGCCTAAAGCCTAAGTCTAACCCTAAATAGGAGTGGTGCTAGTTCACACATAGTGCACAGTCTCCTTCTGTGAATCTCCTAAGGACAGCTGTATTTATGGAAAAGGGATGTAGGGAAAGGGGTATTTGATTACAGAAGATTCAACGGGGCAGGCTGCAAGAGGTGAAACGAAAGGACAGATACTCTAGTAGCATCAGATACAGGAGAAATGACCACGACCCCTGCGTCCTTATTTCAATCAGTGCTCACAAGCAGCAGAGAGGTAGGGTAGGCAACCTTCCAGAGATTTGGTCTCCCAAGCTTGTGTGCTAATCTTCCATACTGCTTGTGCCCCAGGGCTAAGTTACTGGCAGTAAGAGCTTTAAGCTAAAAGAGTGCTGTCATTTGCAATGTGGCCCTGGGAATTTCTCTGAAATTTAATTTGGCCCTTGGACTAAAAAGCTTTGATACTTCTCTCCTGGTCTGGAAGCACCCAAAGCAGTTGTGGCACCCTCTGTTGCAGCCATTAAAAAGAGCAACAGCACCAACAGTCAAACAAACAGGGTTAGCTCTACAGAGCACTAAAAGGGTCAAATTTAGCTTGAGAACAGTTAGCTGATTTTTCTCCAGGGGTCCAGTGCAGAATTGAGCTGTCAGGAGGTGAAAATGGCTCCTGGATTGCCTGATATTTCCCACCCCTACCCAGAGCAAAAACGATAAGGTGTGGGGGTAAGCATTTCAGGCCTGCAAAGAATGACTGTCCAGATCCAAAAGGAAGCATACAGTCAAGCATTCAACAATTTATGTACAGCAAACAGATATTCCTAAATTACAACAGCGCTGAGGGGTAGCCAGCTTAAGACTGACTGCAAAGGAACTAAGCATACACAGAGTGTTTTATGGAGTTGGTGTCACGGATGCATTGCAAGGGAAGGGAATGAGGCTTTTAATGAGTGATACGCAAGAACGATATAGAAGCACACAGCATTGGGAAAACATCATGATGCATCAAGATCTTGAGTGACAGATTGAAAAATAAAACAATCAGAAGTTACAGAATTTAATAGGTTTCAACTCTTTACAGTCTGAGGTAGGAAGTTCTAGAAAGACAATGAGGGAGCTGAGAAGCAGCTGGTGGAGAGTCTCCCACAAGATTGCATTTGCAACAGTAGAAAGAACCTGAATGGAAAAGACCCTGCAGATTGGTTGCGGGAGGGAGAGAGGAGGCAAAGATTTCTATATTCCAAAATATGATACTATATCTTTTATGAGGACAACTCCCACAGAGGAGAGGCAGAGAATGAGAGGAAGAGGAGTGGAGTGGATGCACCCCTTACTTGGAGGACAAACTGCCTGCCTGCCTGGAGGAACTGTGCTACCTTGGCCTGGCTGTCATCCTTTGCTGTGACTTCTTTGCCTAGCACCTGCAGGAGGTTCTGGAGTTGTCAGAAAAGATCGAAGAGGAGGCTGCCCAGGAGATCACTTTGACAGAGCTTGAAGATCCAAACGGAAAGGAGATCTTGGATGAAGATGTGGAGGCGGAAGAGGACAAGGAGGAGCCACCCCATCCCACTGTCTTATCCACGACGACAGCTTCCCCGGCTCAGGAAGAGGAGGACAGCTTTAACTATGTGTGTGAGTAATGCAGAACAGCCAGATCATCTGTCCTTGATAAAGCAGTTCCAATTCCAAAGGAGATTTTACCTCTTTGCTGCCCCAGCCAACAGCCCCACCCCCTTAGACCATTATGGGCTTCTCTCTTCTAGCTGGCTTTCAATCCCCATTTTAATGAAGGACAGGCTTATCTTTCAAAAGCCACTAGCCTGGTTATGTGGCATTTCCAGGTGTAGGAGCAGCATTGCTCTCTTTATTTCTGAGGTTCAGGTGCCATTGCTTATGCAGCCAAAACTGTACCACCGAAGTATGAGGAGAAGGTACCTGCTGATCTGCAGAAGCCAGAGGTTAGCTGAAGTACAAAAAAATCATTGGTGGCTGGGTGGGAGGGGCAGCATGAGCATAGCCTAAAGACCTGGCTGTGCTCAGTGGCCATGAAATGCTGACTGCTGGAGAGGCAGGGAAAGAAAAAACTGGAGAGGTTGAAGAAGAGGTGGGATGGAGTGAGTGACTGGAATCCTGAAGAGGCACTTGACGCTGCAACATTTTGTTGCAGGTCCCTCTCGTGGCAGTGAATATCAAGGATGCTCAAGTGAGACTTTTATTATGCCATAGCCATGCCTCACTCATGGAATCTTATGGCAGGGAGGCTGGAGTGGCAGGGAAAGTCTTCCTCCACTTGTGATTCTCCCGTGTTTTCTCACTGCTTCTCACATTTTTTTAACTGAAACAATCTGCTAAGGAAGAAAAGTCAAAGTGGCTGCATGGTGCTTCCTTCAGATTGCTGGAGCAAGAAGGCTTCTGCCTGGAAGGAGCCCGGCTGCTGTTAAGAGTCAGCCTGAATTGCTGTCTTCAAGTCCTGTTTGTGGGCTTCCCAGAGACATCTGGTTGGTCACTGCAGGAAAGGGGTCTAGCTCACCCAGTACAGCTGTTCTTGATCTTTTTGGTGGCATTGAACATCTGCCTTTCCCAACATGCTTCCCTCCAAATGTGTTGGACTGTACCTCCCATAATCCTCAAGCAGGATTATGGGGAAAATTCTCCAATGCATGTGGAGGGCACCAGGTGGGGAAAGGCTGATCAAGAGTAGCTATGCCATGCCTGTGTTCCCCATTTTTTAAAAAGGATGTTAAATAGGATTACTTGCTTTGTTTGTTCAGTGGCCCTCTGCAGACTCATCAGGAGCATTCCAGACAGTCCCAAGTTCAAATCCCAGCTCAGTCATGAACTGATTTGAGAGCTGCTGCAGCGCCCTCCCTGAGCAGCTGTTCTGAGAAGCAGAACATATCCAGCTTCTAAACCCTTCTATTCCCTGTTGTCCCTTGCTCCCAAATGATCGCTCTTTGCCTCTTCTCCAAAGACATTGCTTTCTGCTTCTTTCCTTGTCCTCCGGCACAAAAGCCAATTACATCAAACTCCAATCAATTCCTAGCCATAAATCCTGTTTTTTGTCTTGGTTGGAAGCAACAGTAAACCTACCCATCAGTGACTTCCTTCCACTTTGTAAAAAACAGGGCTTGTAGCAGAAAGCCCTATGAGTGCTTTTTACTCCACTGCCAGAAATGCCCTTGTGTCTCTAGAGTTTACAGCCTGTAATAGTATTCCTGTAATAGTATTTGAAAGGGTAGATACCATTGCAAGAGCAAACTTTCTCCTACACCCAGAACAAGCATCCCAGAGGATCCCCCCTTAAAAGCAAGTGGGTGGTAAAACGAAGGAGAGAGTGGTGGAATGGAGTAAGCTAGAAAAGGGCATGGCTGGTTAGAACCCTGAATAATGAACAGGCTGAACTTTGGCTTCATCGGAATTGTTTTTCGGAATCAAACCAAGATTAGATTCACTTTGGCATCCTCCCCAATAGCTAAGATCAATGGGAGTCCAACAGCATCTGGAGGGCCACAGGATCCTTATGCCTGAGAACTAATGCAGTATGATATTCCATTTTTAGGGAAGGGATTCCCAACATGGGGTGCCTGCACCCCCCAGGGGTGATAGATGGCATTTCAGGGGGTGCAACAAAGAGGAAGGCAAATTGGCAAATTGCAACATTTTTCTCCAAAATTTATCCAATAATAAAATTGTTTATTCTTATTTTGCTTGCACTTGGATTCTGTTCTGTTTTGTCAATTAAGACAAAATTCTAGGAATTGCCTGAATCCACAGGCAGACTTGCAGATTGCAATCAGCAAGAAAGCTCCAAGTTTTGACAAAATCCTGAATGAAAAGCAGGAACAAAGAAGTCTTTGACTTTATGTTCACATCTGGGATTGATTTTACTGTTTATATTTTTTTCTAATTGCTCAATTTATATTTGAATTTTTGCACTAAGTTAAAAGCTTATTTTGGGAGGGTTCAATTTGTGGTTCAAAAATTAGTTATTTGATTTCTTCATCTTCAAATGTGATATTGAACATAAATTGAACATTTTCAAGGGGTATGGTCATAGAAAAGGTTAGGAACCACTCTTTTAGGGGAGTATCAGTTCTTACAGAACATCCCTGCCCCTAAAACATACCCCATGCCAGCTTGTCTTTTTGGTGGGGACAGAACTGTTCTTATCAAACATGTCCGGTACCATGTCAATAAGTGTTAGATTGTGAGATGGGTTCTCATAGAAGCTACGTAAAAAACAAGTACAGAGATATGATGAATGGACAAGCAGATGCATCGACACCAGAAGTTACTTAGGTAGAACAATGCCATCTTTGTGAAGTATTTAAATATCCTGGATTATCAGAAGTATAATGTCCAGATCATGGTAAGGAACAGTTCCACGCTGTTCTGTGCTGGGCGATCTGCACCTGGGGTACCACATCCAGCTCTAGATGTCACATGTCCAAGCAAACTGGCGTGTGGCCAGAGGAGGGCAGGCAGAATGGAGAGGAGATGTGGACAAGTGCTGTGGGGAATGGTTGGAAGAACTGGGTACGTTTAGCCTGAAAAAAGTAGAGTCAGGGGAGAAAGGATCGCTGCCTTCAAATATCTGAAGGGCTTTTGTACAGAAGATACAAAACTTCTGTTGACTTCTGTAACGCGCTCTACGTGGGGCTGCCCTTGAAGATGGTCCGGATACTTCAATTGGTTCAAAATAGAGCTGCCAGGCTGCTGACGGGGACTGGGCGTTATGTTCACATGACTCCAGTTCTCCGTCAGCTTCACTGGCTGCCCATTGAAGTCCAGGCCCAATTCAAGGTGTTGGTTATGACCTATAAAGCCCTTAACGGCTTGAGTCCTGGTTACCTGAAGGAGTGCTTATGTCCATATATGCCCGCCCGCCCCCTGAGATCAGCGGCAGAGGCCCTTCTCTGGGAACCCTCCGTGAAAGAAATTAGGAGGGTGGGTACTCGGAGGAGGGCCTTCTCTGCAGTGGCGCCCAATCTATGGAATGTGCTCCCCAGAGAGGTCCACCTGGCGCCATCGTTATTTGTTTTTCATTCAAAAGCTTTTTATTCAAACGCTATTTTAATTGTTAATATTATTTATTTATTTTATTTTTCGGGCCAGGTCGACTCATATTGTATTGTTTTATTGTGTCCTTATTTATTTATTATTGTGAGCCGCCCCAAGACTTCGGCGAATGGGGCGGCATAGAAGCCTTCTAAATAAACAAACAAATAAATAAATAAGTAAGATGGAGCAGAGTTGTTGCTTCTGAGGACAAGGCTAGGATCAGGAGAAACTTCCCAATGGGAAGAGGTTCTGGACAGTGGAACAGACTGCCTCAGGAGGTGGTAGGATATTTAAGCAGAGGCTAGGCAGCCATTGGTCAGGGATGCTGTACTTGCATGATCCCTGTGCAGTAGGAGGGGTTAGATGGCCTCAAATGTTCTTTCCTACTCTAAAGTTTTACTATTCTGTGCAACAGCCCAGTGATGGTCCTGCGTGAGTTCTGGGTAGCCGCAGTAAGCAACTCCAGGAGCTTCAGTTTGGAATAGATGACGGCTTTGGGAGTTCACTCCAATAAAAACTAGAATCTAGGCTCTATCAGCTAGCAAATGAACAGCCCGTTTACCTTCTTCCAACTCTGTAAGGCAACTTTTCCCAATCTGGTGGCCTCCAGATGTTTTGAATTACAACTCCCAGACAGTCCAGCTAGCATTGCAGGGTTTGTCCAAGACATTTTGCTGCCTGAGGCAGTGTGTGAAATGTACCCATGTCAAGTTATAAACCTCATGCAAGAAAAGTTATTTTGGGACCTGAAGCAGGAAAACTCACAGCTGTGTCTCCCCTTCCTAGACAGAAAAGAAAACCATAATCATCAATTAAATATAAAGTTGCTGTGTGTTCATGACAGCCCAGGTCTGTGGCCTGAGGTGGCCATCTTGCTCTGCCTTGTGATAAGGCTGGCTGTGCCAGGCTGGGGGAAAGCAAGCCCACTTCCAGAGCACAGACAGAGTTTTTTATAAGTTATGAGTCACGTACCCAGTTTCAAGGCAGTGAGGAGATTCGGAATGGGTGAGAAGGCAAGGGCAGTGGGGAATAATGCAGAAACATTGAAAAATAATTGCAGACATCAGGAAAACATCATGACCCATGGAAGTCTTGTTTTATTTGTTATTTGCTACTCAACTAGGAGTTACAGAACTCTAATAGGTTTAAAATATTGTGGTTTTTGCAATCAGATATAGAGATTTCCTTAAGACAAAGCATGAGCTGGCTAGGTATTTTTACACTGCAAAGGAAGCACAGCTGCCCTAGCAACATTGTTTCAGTGCTGTTTCTGCTAAGGTCTGCCTTATCTGAGAGCAAGTGGATTATTAGCATAGCTTGGGACTGTTTTTCCTTTTTACCCTAGAGAAGGAATGGGAAAGGAAAAGCTCTGCAGATGGGGAGGAAGAGTATGGGCACTGCTGCCAGATTTTATCCTAAAGGTCACAAAAAGGCATATCTTTTAATTTGAGGGTTCATTTGGACTTTCCCAACACATGTGAACATGCAATGCTGGGGTCCCCAGCATGATAGCTTTGGGAACAAGTGTGCCCCTGCATACCTTCCTTGGAGCCTGTCTTGTCCCTGCCCCTTCTTAATTTGGCCTTTTGGGATCAGATTCCACTCACACCTTGTACTCAGCATGCTGGTCAAGTACAGTCTGCCTTCTGTAGAAAGGTATAAGAGCAGAAAATGCTGGTTTCATAAGTATGCTCTTGTCTTGTGGAGCTCAGACTCCATATCTGCTTTGTACTTGGATCCCTGGGCAAGTTGTTAGTGACTGGCCATATCCACCATGGCAGCCATTTTGTGAAAACATTGACATCACATTCTCCACATTCCATATCTGCCCACAGATTTGGGGACCCCTGATGCAATGTGTCTTCCTAAAATGCAGAGCAACTGTCTCCCTCCCTATTATAAATAATTAGTTATTGTGATATCCTTTTCAAGCACAGCATCTTTCATGATGTTCTAGGATCAAACTACCCATAACCGAAGCTTCTGTGTAACTTTCATGCAGCAGGTTTTTTTTTTTTTTAAATGAAAAGAACCCAGTGGAGGCTGGAATTTTGAGCAAAAGAAATGTGTTTTGCAGGATGGGAAGCTAAGAGGGAGGAAGAGTCTGTCTGTCTGCCTGCCTGTCTGTCTGTCTGCCTGTCTGCCTGCCTGTCTGTCTCTCTCTCTCTCTCTCTCTCACTCACACACACATGAAACACCAGCAGGAAATTATGCATAGCAGCATGTCATGTTTAGTTTGGCCTTTATTCTTGAAAGGGATTATGGGATAACCCAGCCCTGCGCAGGGAGCAGGGGAACACAATTACCTATTCAAGTGGAACATAGAAATTTGATGCAGACTCCTAGGAATTTCCTATTCCAGGAACAGAATTTTTCTTTCCTCAGCATGAAGTGAACATTAGGGAAGAAACATCACTCTCTCCCTCTCTCCTGCTGCCAAATTGTACCTATGAAGGCTATACTGATGTAGAGGTTAAGAAAGGGTATTGTGAATAATCTTCAGTTTGTAGTTCTGCTTTCTTCTCAAGAGTTAGTGGATGCCTTTCTATAAAAGTGTAATAGGTTTTGCTTGCTCCTCAAATGCACTTGACTGAAGCCAAGTTATCGTGTTTTATTTAACCATCAAGTAATCTGAATGGTTTTTTAAAATAATGGATGAATAGTGCACATATTTAGACAGTATCTTGAAAACATGTATTTAATAATAATTACAGCAGCCCTGTGAAGCAGTCTAGTGCCATTATTCTCTTATTACAGCTGGGAGACTGAGAGATGATTGGTAGCAACAGAGGCAACATTTGAACTAGGACTGTTTTGGATCACAGCGCAGTCAGGTTCTGGTCTACTATATAGCCATCAATATTAAATTGATAGAAAGGGTCTGGTATGTTGGGGCTGATTTGCATATAAAGCTGCACTCAGGTTCTCCCCACTGCCTTTCTCCTTCTACACAGATGCAAGGGGGAGATTGGAAGCTTTTCTGCACAAGCCTTTCTCTGCTGCGACTCCTTTACGCATCTTCTGCCCAAAGCAGTTGTCTCACACTCACACTGTCAGGGCTGGCTCTGATTAACAAGATCTGTACAAGATACAGATCAGGATGTGGCCTTTCCTCCAGATTCATTGGTTTTGCTTTTTAAATCTTACTTTGTTAACCTGTTTTGGGGCTGATCAATTGTTGTTAAGACAGTTGAATTAAACAAACAAATTGAAATAAAATTGTGGATTCTTCCTGTTTCACCTTTGCACATTTGGTGGTGGAGAAATTTACTTCTGTGGGGAAAAGATTTGGTGTATACACTGTCTTCCTGATTCCATTCAGGGACAAATTATACCTGACTTTAAATGCCTGTTTGCATCCAAGATGCAGGGTTTTTTTTTTAAATGCTGATTATTAACTGGATGACAGCAGGGACAGAGAGGGAATTAAATTCTCTGTTCCCCTGCTGTGATCTTCAGGGGAGCCCCAGCTGCAGACTCCGCTATTTGCTTTAAGGGGAATTCCTCATCAGTGCCAACAGCATTTTCAGGGGAGGGATTTTCTCATGACTCCCACAAAAGCAGAAAGGGTTAAAATCCACTTTCCATACCTGCATTGAACCCGTCAATGACTGGCCTCCACCCACTGCCCCTTGGTGCAATCTGCAAAAGCTGCTCTTTAAATGCAAAGTCAAGTGGACTCTCATCACAGTCCAGCCTTCCCAAAACTAGCACTTTCCAGCTGTGTTGAACTACAGTTCCTAGCATTTCCAACTGGCCATGCTGTCTAACACATCTGGAGAGCCCCAAGTTGGAAAAAGCAGTCTCACACACAGACACGTGCCTTTCCTAGTGGTGGTGCTGACTGCAGTTGAGCATCCACATGGATCATGCTAGAAGCCCTGGACCAATCACAGGTAACCCTCTTATATCTGTCTCTTGGCCAAAAAGTCGAACGGGCACTTATGGACACATCCCTCAAAGAAACGTCAAACACAGTTCCCATGTCCCTGTTAACTGAGCCACTGGAATCTATCCTGACCCAGTTTATTTATTTTGTTTCTTATCTGAGTTGGCTTACCAGCATTTATAACTCAACTACACCCAGAAAGATGGCCCCATAATATGATAATTCACCATTTATGTACAGAACAGATGCCCATTTTTTAGCAGGAGATGACTTGCTCTTAAAGGATCCAGTAAAGACAGGGTCCAGTCTCAGTGGGATGGTGATCTCAGAAAACTGAACAACTTCCACTGACTACCCGCTGGTCAGGCTGGCTAAGGATGATGACGACAGCTATATTCCAATACACTTGGAAGGCACCAGGTTCAGCCATCCGAGCTGAGGAGGCCTTTGATGAACTGTTCTGTTCTGAATTCCCGCTTGTGCTGGTAGGCCCCATGGATTGAGCTCCAGGTAGTGATGGTCATTGTGACAGCAACAACTACTTTCCAGTGTTTGCTACTTTGTCTCTAAGGAATGGTGCACGTCTCAGGGCTGCTTCCTGTACAACCAAGAAAAACAGTGGCTCCACATCCACTTTCCTCTTGAGGCTCACGTGATTCCAGCGGAGCACTATAACAAGCTGCCTTTCTCAGGGCTTAAATAGGGGAAGGGGTTTCTCTCTGACCAGCGCTTTTCCCTGCTGGGAGAGGGGGCCAGAGCTTCAGAGGAAAGTGCTCAGTGATGCAGTCCTGCTTACTTCTGTGCATAGCTGCAGAGGTTTGCCCTGCTTTTTTATGAGCAGAGATGCCCATCCTTACTTGTGAGGACATATGCAGAGGCTTGATACTAGGAAGCTGCTTGCAAGTGCTGCCCTTTTGTGCATGAAAGATCTCCCACCCCATTGCACTGGCCGGGAAGCCACGTGTCCTGCTGGCGGTTCCATGCATATGCACATTGCATGCTCCTTCCCATCCTCAGCAGACACAGGATGCCCCCCCCCCCCCAAAAAAAACCCTGGGGCCCAAAAATGTCCCACCCCTATTCTCTAATGTAAGTTGCTCTGTGGCATTCGAGACAGAAGATCTGGATGGCTGCCCCTGAACTCAAGCACCCAGCCCAGGGGGTCTGTTGGAGCCCCGGCAGTTGTCCAAGTCCCAAAAGCCATTACCCGTTGGCTCCCAGGCAGCTTTATCATCCCGCTCTTGTCTTCCTCCTGTTTCTCTGCTGTTCGCTCCTAGGGGCTCCCACTTCCACAGACCGGGTTCCCATGCCGCTCTGTTATCGAGATTGTTGTCAGCTAAGCTCTCCAAAGCCCCCCATGAGACCGCTGACACTTAATAGGCAATCTGAGCAGCATCCACCTCAAGCTGCATTGATAAGAGAGGCATCATCGAGGGAGTGCATGCATGCAAGGAGAACGGTGGGGAGGCAGGCGTGCCTCTCCCGCCGCACCTGGATGGCTACATCACTACGGGCCGATTTGGATTTTACTGCTCTGATGCTTCTGTGAATGCAAGTTTCTTTATGAGTGAAGACTTGCCATGACTTTCCCCTGCTTTAGTTGCCGTTATATATCAGGGATGGGAACTTTTTTTAGCTTGCATTGGCTCGAAACAAGCAGAGCTGCCAGTACATTTTAGTTTAAAGCTGTTCCTGCTAGTAAATTAGCCTTAGGAGAGGCTCTTCAGCCTTTGAGCAGTAAAAACAGCACAAAATGTGGGAAACCATCAAGTGATTGATGAGTGGTGGAAAGGGGGTGGAGGGTGGGAAGGGTTGGTGGGGCTGAGGGTTCAGTTGAGGTTCCAGGAAGGGCCAGATTTGGTCCACAGGCCTAGAGTTCAGCATCTCCATTACAGAGCTGAGCCTTCCCTAACCTGGAGCCTTCCAAATGCTATATTACTCTTAGCATTCTCGACAATTGGCCATCCTGGCTGGGAATAATGGGAACTGGAGTCTGCAACAATTAGGGGGCTAAGCTGGGGAAGGCTGGTCTTTTGTCCACAGGCCTAAAGTTCAGCATCCCTGTTACAGAGGTGAGTCTTCCCCTACCTGGAGCCTTCTAAATGCTATATTGCTCTCAGCATTCTCAACATCCTGGCTGGGGATAATGGTAACTGGAGTCTACAACAATTAGGGGGCTAAGCTGGCGAAGGCTGGTCTTGTAGCCACCACTTCTGTTTCATATTTCCCCCTAGCTGGGAGAGCTCTAACATCTCCTGCTCCTGGGCCTCCTGATCCTGAAAAAGGTGCTTCTTCTCTTTCTGTTTCTCCTTTCTGGTGTCCAATGCACAGTCTCGCGCCTGAACAGCCTGGATGCAGCAGTCCACCGCCTCAATGTCCAGTTCTACAACATGGATGTGCGAGTATCCCAGTTCTCCCAAGGCCTGGCTGATCTGAAAAGGGGCCTGACTGAGGCACGCGAGTCTCTTGCTTCCCTCAATGATGTCGCGACGCGTAACCAGAAAGAGCTTGGACGAATTGATGGTGAGGATCAGGGAAGGATTCCCCTGGGGGTTGGTTGATGCATGTTTAGAACAGTGGTGGTCACAGGATAAAAATCATTCATCAGTATCTGAGGGACTGGTGTCTGAGAGAGAAAATATATATTATTTATTTAAAGAGATTTCCATTTTCTTCCTTCCTTTTGTTTATTCTGCTCTTCAACTAAATAAACAGTATTCCAGAGTGGCTTAGAAACAATTAATGAAATATGGCCATCCCTACTTGCAGGCTTACAAACTGAAAAGACATGGCACAGAAGGAAAGAGAGATGAGGAGGGAAGAGAAAAAATGAAGCAGACTGCCAGCAGGGCTAGAGGAATGGCTGTGTTTCCCTTTCTCATCTCTCTCTGTACATACTGCTGGAATGATTTGTGATGGTAACAGCTGAGGGAGAAGACGCTTCTTGGGGGAGGCCCTTCCGCATTGTACAGTTATGAATCATTACCAGTGTTGGCTCCATGCTTTGGGAAGCTTCAAATCCACTCTCTCCCTGAACATGGCTCACCTTCTTGCTGCTGTTGCCCCTGCTGGTTTGCCTGCTCTCTCCATCATGGTTCAGTCCTTCTTTGGGCACAATGAGCAGAGACTCATTAGCTCTTGCTACTGTTTGCTTACTCAGTGAGAACAGGTGAACAGCAGCTGACAGTGGACAGAAGATACAGCTGCAGGCCAGGATGCTCTGGCAGTCAGCAATGAAAGCCCTGCTGGGACGCGGTCCTTAGCATGTGGCCGGATGATGCTGACTGTTGACACCTGTCCTGGACATCGTGAAGGCTATTTGCCTGATCGCCCATGATGAGCAGCAGTTGTTTCCAGGTGACCACCCTGGCAACCTTTGACCAAAGGAAAGAGGTCCTGTTTTCTCTTTGAGTTTTTCAATGCCATTCAAATACCTGGATTAGGGGAAATGATCGGGTATCTCAACAAATAAATGCCCCACAGTAATTACCGGTGTCTGCATAGCAATGTTGCTATTGGCCCCACAGCTTTTGCTCAGGTTTAAAATATGGTTAATTATCATATGTTGACTCAGAGCCCTGGTTGCCAGCAAAAGATTGACAAGGATCTATTGGTATTTCTCTCAAAACGTCCTGTCAAAAAACTTTAACAAGGGAAGGGGAAGGAACAACAAAACTTGTGAATTATCACAATGCCATTTCATTTGCGATCAGATGTTAACTTTTTGCTGTTGCTTCCTCTAAAGACAGAGGTGGACAGAGGGTAGATCTCCAGATGTTTTGGACTTCAGCTCCCAGAAGCCCCTACCAGCATGGCTAGTAGTCAGGAATGTTGCGAGTTCAAATCTAAAACTTCTGGAGATCTATCTGCCTACTGCTAGACCAAAGAAGCTGTGGAGAGCATGATGGCCCAGTTTTGGAACAATGATCCTGGAGAAAGTTGAGAGTAGTTAACCCTTTTTCCACACCCAGTTCTTCCAGATCAAAATACTCCCCAGCCCCTGTGTTGCTGTTGACCATTCAGGGTGAATGGGGGATCAAAGCACATGTATCACTGTATTTTGCTAACACATTGCTGGACAACTTGTGATCCTCCAGCTGTACTGGCCTACAACTTCCATAGGCTGTAGCCAGCATAGCATATCCTGAGGGATCATGGAGTTATACATCAAGAAAAGTTAAGAAGACCACAGATTATCCATCCCTGGTCTGGTGTGTGTGTGAGAGAGAGTGAGAGCAATTAATTGAACAATCTTGTAATAGGCTATTTGGAGGCATAACACTTTGCGCTCAATGGGACTTGATTCCATGTAAATAGACATAAGATTGCAACTTTTGAGTAGGACATCCTTACCCAGTTTATGCCCTCCAAGTGTGTGGGCTACCAACCCTACAATCACCAGTACATTGGTTGCTGGGGATGATGGAAGTTGTAATCCATTGCACCTATAGAGCATTAGGGTGGCAAAAGCTGCATTATCAATGGCATGGAGAAAATCCAGCTGCTGTCTTAAAAAGAGGGGGATGGTCAGAACAACCATCCCCTCCTGTTTTGGCCTGCAGCCTACAAGGGACAAAGTGGTTAAGGAATAAATAATATGCAGAGTCCTCGGAATTGGAAGCCATGCTGAGAGCTGGACTGAGCACCTCAGGCTGCAGCCACTTGCCAAATCACTCCTTTAGGGAAAGCTTAGGGCTGTGTTTGTGTGTGAGGTGTGTGTGCCCCTGTGCAGGGGCGGGGGGGGGGGGGGGGGAATCATCTCAAAAGAGTCAGGATTTCATAGGTATGCTGCTCAGGATGGAAAGAACAAAAGGCTCAAATGAAAAGGTTATTCAGGACACAGAAGTGCTGATTGAAGTCAGTGCCAGAAGCTTGGGATGAGCCAGAAAAAGAATATATTTGAAAAGGTCATTTAACCTCTGCCTTGTCCATTGTATTGCATTTTAGATTGTAAGTTTCTTGGGGCAGGAGACTGTCTTCTTGCAATCTACAAAACACCAAGCATGCTGCTGATGTAATAACAGCGGCATACTGGTGTATGTTTTGAAGTGCAGGCGCTCATCATCATTGTCTCCAAGGAGAGTCAAAAACTGCAGGCAGCTGTGTTGATTGGTGTCAACCCTTCTAGCCAGACTCTCCTCCACCAGGGGCAGGTGGCTTGACAAGCAAATGGGTCTTCATTGTTCATCCGGGACCAAACCACCTAGAAATACTTTGCTTTACAACAGGGAACAGTACATTGTTACTAGGAAAATTAATTCCTTCCTATGAACCCTGGCTTTGCCGTACAATTGCAACGACAGCAAATACTCTGCATCATTCCAGGTTGCTTGCGAGGTCGGCGCACTCAGGCGAAATGCTTCCTGATCTTCAAGCACTTCGAAGTCTACGACGGAGCACAAAAACTTTGTGAAGCAAGGGGAGGCAACCTGGCCATGCCAGCGGACACCTCTGAATTAACTGTCCTGCGCCGCTACCTCTATGAAGCCTTCCAGCCCTACAACTGGCCGGCCTGGGTGGGCATCCACGACCGGCGTGCAGAAGGGCTGTGGCTTTTTGAGAGCGGGCAGCGGGTCTCTGTCTTCGACTGGTACCGCGACCACTTGGTGACCCAGCCCAATGGGGGCACCCGTGAGAACTGCGTCTCCCTCAGCTCAGACGATGGGAAGTGGTGGGACAATGACTGTGAACGGCGCATGTATTACATTTGCGAGTATCGCCTCTAGGCACCAGCCCTTTTCGAGATCTGCTCCCTGTGCTCGTGATCGAACTGGCTTCCTTCTACTATAATACGATGGTGAGTGAGGCTTAAGAGTTGTGTGGGGTGATGACCTCTGGGAGGTATGACCCGTGCCAGTCTTTTGCACATGCAGGAGTGTACATGGTTCTTCTGCACACTCCATACCCTACCCCATGACACTCACACACAACTGCTATTGGCCCTTTATTCTTATTTTAGTTAAATCATCCTGCTTAGTTAAAGCCTCCCTGGCCACAACAATAATTTAGCCCAGTCCTTCCCAAGCTGGTGCCCTCCAGCTGTTTGGACTTCTGTATCCATCACTCCAGCCAGCATGGCAAGTGGGCAGGAAACCTGGTCGAAACATCTGGGGGGCACTAGTTCTTTTCAGAGGAAGTGTCCACAATTTGTAAACCAACAGCAGTTCAATTTCACCAGGCTTTGCTTTTTCTATGGTATGGTGGCATTCATTGCAGTCTCAATTTAAGAGGCTCTGTTTAGATGGGAGTTTCTAAAGACATCTATTATGCCATGTCATTTGACATGACAAAAACTTGCTTGCTGGATGTGTTGAGATGTGCATCCTACTGCACACTGGAACCTTAAAATCAGCATGGGCACAAACTAGACCTTCAAGTATTTTGGACTTCCAGCTCCCAGGGCTTCTGGGAATTGAAGCCTAAAAGATCTGGGGATCTGCTTTCTGCCCACCCCTACTTCAGATAACCAAGTTCCATGTGGAGAAGCCACTATGCTAGAAAAACTTAACTGTCTCCATCCAAATGGGAGGGCACTTGTCTCCTGGTTTGGCTGTTTACTGTTTTTTTTAAAGAAAGTTACTATGATGGGGGACACAGTCTGACTGAGATTGTGGCATGGTGTGGACCTCTAACCCCTCCATAGCCTCAACTGGATACTCCACCCCACCACCTGCTTTTTGCAATGGGAGCTATCCTTCCATTGTGAGCAGCTGGCATGGAAACCCTTCCCCCAGTGCCAATCGGGACTATAGCAAAAGGAAAGGGTTAATGCCCTTCACCCTCTGCACTGCAGTTCAGAGTCAGCTCACCCCACATTGCTGACTCTTAATTGAAAGATAAATTTTGCAAGCTCAACACTCTGGATGAAGTTCTCCTATAATTTGGCCCAAAGGACTGAAGTAGACCCGATGCAGAAATCCACGATCAGATCTGTGAAGCACTGTGCTGTGCATAGAGCCCCAGATCTAGGCCCGAAGAATGGCCCTGGGGAACACATTCTCAACCCTCTGCCTCTGGGCCATGATCCAAATCTAAACTGCATCCACTGAAGCTTTCAGTAGTTGGAGTGGGGAGAGGGGGGCTGACACAGCACTGGAAGGAGGCTGAATTAGAGTGAAAACATCGAGATCTGATCCCAGATGATCAGTTTTTCTTCCTGAAGAAAAACTTAAATGAAAGCCTATTTAATTTAGGGGCCCTAGTACATGCTGCAAAGGGTAGACACGGTGGCCATTTTTTTCCCGAAAAAAAGAAACAAAAATGTTCAAGGGATGCCATGCCCATCCCTATAAAGGCAAAATTACTGGCTTTGGGGACAGCAAACTCTTTGCCCCATTGCTTTCAAAAAAATCCCAACCAGATCTGGGAGAGAAGGCTGGTCCTAGTGTAGTGCTCAGGACTGCAAGTGTAAGGGGCCGGGGGGTGGCGTGTGGCTCAGTTCAATCCACTGCAATTCTAGGGAGAGCTAGGAAGGAGTCTTGCCTGAACCTAGGCTAGATGGCCCAAGGGTCTCACTCACTCTAAGGCAGTTTCCTTTGTTCCCAAGTGCCCACCACTCCGTGTCTCCAGGCCAGTGGGGCAGCTCGGCTTTCTTGATTGTACTGTTCAGGAAGTTCAGCAAGGAGCTCAAAGCACACTTGCTCACTGTACAGGCTGCCTTCCTCTCACCCCGGGACCATTATCACCCATTGCCCAATAATGCACTTTATAAAATCAAGGTGGAAACATGGGCAATGTGACAGTATCAGGTCCTTCAAGAAGTACAGACCCCGAATGAGATATCCATAAAGATCAACCAAGGGTGGCAATAGGGCTGAATCATGGTTCAAGTAAAGGCTAATCTATCAATCACATTCATGGTCAAAGAGGATGCTGTAGTGGAATCTTCCTCGTGTGCTCACGTGGCCCTTGGCACGGCTGCATTTCCCACTTCCCTGATTAGCCTTGTCCAACCTTATGTTCACCAGACATTGGGACTGCAACTCCCATCAACCACAGCCAGCAGGGCCAATAGTCAGCGGTGCTGAGAATTGTAATCCATGGCATTTCGGTGGGACTACACTGGGGACTGCCTTGGGATATTTCCCTGCCCTTCCCACATTCACTCTCCCCAACACTTAATCACATCAGAAGTACCTCTTTAAAATAAAGCATCTTTTATTTTCTTGTCAAAGCACTGATGTTGCATTAAAAAACCCAAATCAAACAAATCTTGGTTTGATGGTTGAGCCTAAAGAGGGTAAAGTTTCATGGCCCCTGCCTAGTTTGCCCTCCACCCACACCTTCTAAAAGATGTGGGGAAGGATGATCATAATGGGGCCCTCTCTGTTCCCTTTCTCAGCTTTGTTCCTTCATCTTTTCCATTTACAAGTTTGACATTTCAACTACATGCAAATGCAGGGAGGGGTGGATGGGAGGGAAAAGTGTATGTCTACGAAATGGAAGGCTCAAGGGAAAAAGCAAGGGAATAGGTGGGAGAAGAAATGGTTCGTAGTTTCTTTGGTTTTAGGTCAATCTACTGTCCAAGTAGGCCAGAGGATACTGTGGGCTCCAAAGAGGAATGGTGCTTCTTGAGGTCACCTTTACATCTAAGGAGTTTTCTGTTCTTTGATCTGTTCCTTGTACTTGTGAGATGCGGGAGGTGGAGAAGGGAAAAGAAAGCAAGTACATCCACAGAACTCAGTGTCTGGGAGGTACCTCAGATGTTGGGGGCCAGGGCACACCTTTCCAGCCACTATTTTCTCCTCCATCACTTCAATGGCAAGAGAGAGGAGGAGAAAAAGGTATGATCTGTGTGTCTTTTGCCTAAATTCCTCCCCAGTTGCTTAGTTTCGACCCATTAAGACCCTGCACCAAATGCTTATCGTTAATCTTTTTTAGAAGCGGGGGGGGGGGGGCGCATAACAACAACATGAAAGAAAAACCTCCCCTTCCACCCTGTCATACACAATGTATCATCTAATTACATTCCAGGCCACAGGCAATATTTCATGCTATTTTCTCCCTTCCTCCTCTCTCATGCATGAGCTACTCCTGTCTCCAGGATCTCCCCGTTATCCCCACCTTCAATACCTATATAGTTTTATTTGCTTCCCTACCGTGGATATGTCCTTGTAGTTACAGTTCTACCCATCTTCCGGTATACATGGAATATTCCAGCCCTGCCTCTTTCCCTCTTTTTAAATCCTCCCCCATCTTGCTTGTGGACCATTCCTGTCCTCAAATGCTCCCTCCCTCCTTCCTTTCCAGGCTGGTTCTTGCCCTCCACTGCTGCATCTGTCTGTTCTCTGACTCCAGGGAAGGAGGACTGTGGTGTAAGTTGTACCTCTCTCCCCCTCCGCCCCAAATTCCTTTCATGCAAGGCACATTCCTGCACTTTGGGCCTCCGATCCCTTGCCTGGGTTCACTGTGAATAACTGCTCTCCTCAGCTTTCTCCTCCCTGTCACCTGGAAAGCTGACTCTCCCTGGTTTTCACTGACACAGCTGTATTTTTTACCCCTATCTTTTATTTTGGGTCTCCCCCCCTCAAAAAATGGTTTGCTCTGCTTCTGTTTAGCCACCTCTCTGCCAAAACAAAACCACCGCAACTGAACCAAATCCCCACATACCCACACCCAGACCACGCCTCAACAGTAGGAAGAGTCTTTGGCCCTGCGCTTCCACCTTTCTTCCAGTCCCTTGAGGTGGGGGAGGAGTAGGATCTGCTGCCTGCCCCCCAAGTGCCCCCCTTCATAGCTCCTAGTGCAGCATGGCACGGTTGCCGTGGAGGAACACCAGCACGTCAACATGCTCCGGCGTCAGGGCCTGGCGCTTCGTGTGGATGGCGTCGCCGGTGCTGCCGAAGAGCCAGCTGGCAGGCACAGAGGTGGCTGGCACTCCAAGCAGCTGGCGGGCAGCCCGGGCCAGCAGTGGGTACTGGGTGTGGTGGGTCTTCCACCACTGCAGAGGCTCCTGGGCCAGGGCAGAAGCCTTGCTGGTTTGGAAGCTGGCTGTCTCTTGCTCTGCCTGCTGGTGAGTGGAACTTGCTCCCGGGGCCCCGTGCAAGCCACACAGGTCACCCAGGAGGAACTCGATGCCGGCGTCTTGCTTGGGCAGCTTGGCAGGTGGTGAGGCCACGTCGGGAAGGCCAGCAGTCAACGCTGGAGTCTCGGCGAGGCGGGATGCCTCCGTCTTGAGCAAGTGCAAGGTCTCCACCCGGTCGGCGTGGCTCAGGAAATCCAGGCCACGGAAGCGGGGGTCCAGGGCACAGGCCAGGTTCAGGGCCTGATTGACTTCTGGGCTGGAGAAGTGCCGATTCAGCTCCTTCCGCGCTGCTGCTTTGGCCTCAAGGGCCAGCGCCGAGTCCCAGTCACTGGCCACCAAATGCTTGTAAAGGAGACTGGTCAGCACGGGCTTCACAAGGGAGAGACTGGGAAAAGGATCTTTGGTAAAGGTTGAGGTAGCAATGGCCATGGGCTTGAGGACCTTGACTGTGTCTTGGAGGGCAGCCCAATCCTGGGGATGCAGCGTTGCTTCCCCATCAGGGCCGAGTCCAGCCAGAGGCTCGCTGTGTTCCAGCAGGCCCTGCAGGACTGCGTAGACACTGTGCCACTTGCCCCCGTCTTGCAGGAAGCGGTTCAGGTGAGCCTGAAGGAGAGGCTCTTGGGCCCACAGTTTCTCACTGCGGCCTGCCCCAGCTAGTGCCCAAGAGGCCATGCGGCGGAGCCGTTCCAAGGCACTCTGGGCTGCTGGCTGGCTTAGGACGGCCTCCATGGCAGCCCGCAAGGCCTGCCCAATGCAAGGGAGGGATGTCCAGCCCAGGGCTGCTGCAGCTTGCTGCGCAGCGGGGCCCAGCCCCCCCACAGTGTAAGAGGCACTCTCACGCACCCCCCAGGCCTCAGCTGCCTCGGCAAGTGCTTCTGCCAGGCTCTCCGCACCCGGCTCCTCAGGAATGGGCCGGCTCGAGAGGACCCGGGCCTGGGCTTCAAAGCAGTCGTCCACATAGTGCACAGCGAGTGTGAGGTAGGTGAGGGCGCTGCTGTGGCGCCAGATGTCCAGGCTGAGGGAGCACTGGGGCAGGGCCCGGACCAGCTCCCAGATCTTCCCCTTGACCTGGCTGTACATGTCCTTCAGCACTGTATGGGCCAGGGAGGTGGCGTCTGGGGGCTTGTAGCTGGGATCCAGGACACCCAGCATCTGCCCGAAGCCATCCCCTTCCACCACCTCCACCGGCATCAGGTCCAGTACGATGAAGTCTGCCACGGCCCGCGTGGTCCGGCCGGGAGCAGGAGCTCGAGAAACTCTGCATTCTCCTGCCCCCGGCACCCCTTTGTCGAGTGCGGTGGCCTGTGCCCCCACCAGCTGGTTGTACTCGCAACGGTGCTTGTAGATGAGGTGCTGCCGCAGGTTGGTGGTGTTGCCACTGTAGCTCAGCCGCACCCCGCACAGCTTGCAGATGATCTTGCTCTTGTCCAGGATGCGGCCATAGGCATCCCCTTGGAACCCAAAGAAGGTCCAGTACCGGCTCTGGGCCCGTCCCAACCCAACCAAGTTCTGTGTCCCTTCCAGCTGGGAAAAAGTGCTCCCACCTGGTGGGGGAAGGCCTGGCTTGTGGAGGGGCAGGAGAGATGAGGCAGTGGCATCTCCGCACAGGTACTGAGTACGTGAGGATGGGGCATGGGGGGCCGGAGGTGATGGGGGGGTCTTGAGGTGCAGTTCCTGGAAGAGTTTCATCAGCAGTTCCTTTTCACCAAATTCGTATTTAAAATGCTCACCTGGGGGTGGGGAGAAATTGCAACACAGGAATGAGAGGCTACCTAAAGGTGCAAGGGCCCCGATTCCCACAAGTCTTCCTTCTCTCATTTCCCATAGAGACCACCCCGTTTTCCTGTTTAGCAGCCTTGAACATCCACAAACAGCCTTCCCCAATCTTCTCCAGATGATTTGGGCCACAACTCCCAGGATTCCTGCCTACTGCCCATGCTGGTTGGGACTGATGGGAGTTGTAGTTCAGAACATCTGGAGGCATCAAGTTGGGGAAGCTGCTCAAGAACACCTTTCCTTTTAAAGCACTGGGAGCCAGGGGGCCTCAAGACTGCAAAGGGGAAGGATAGAACTGGAAGAGTCTCTTCAAGAAAATTATAAACTGGCAGAGGGGCTCTACAAAGCACATCTTTTTTTGCAGCCATTGGAGTATAGTTAGTGTGCCCTGGTTTTCCATGCAGGGTTCCTGGTTCAAGGTCTGGCATCACCACTTAAAAAGATCAGGTCAGAGATACCTGGACAGTTTCAATTAGTCAGAAGAGCAGGGATGGGGAACCTTTAGCCCCTGGAAGTTCTGTAGCTGCCTATGGAGCATCCCTGCGTCCCTCCAGGGAATCACTGCAGTTCTCCCCCTCCAGGAAAATCATCTGGAGAAATCTCTGCTCCTGTCCCCCTCCAAGGAACACTTTCTATTATTCCCTATCTGATTATCAACCCACAAATAGAAGAAGCAGGATGTGGTTATCTCCAATCTCACACTGGAAATGACAGTGGGGAAGTAGGTCATGGAGAACTTGGCTGGTACTGGAAAGAGTATCTGTTGTTTCCAACCCAACTTGGTCAGTGCCAAGAGGACATACTCCTCCCAGAGCTGGCAGAGTCCTCTCTTAGCATGCAAAAGGGAAAAGGGGGCAATGTCAGCCTCCCAAGAGTTCTGCACCACTTGACAAAGAAGTCTGGAAGGGCTGCTCTCAACTTGTTACCCCAGCTCTGTCAGACCTCAAGCCCCTTCATCCTCACTCTGATTATGGCAGCTATGGTCTAGCTTTGTCTGAGGGTGCTAGGTTGGGAAGACTGTTCTAGGATATACAAAATGCATTCTCCCTCCCCCCCCACACACACATCTGCCTACCCAAGCGCAGTCCCAGGGTGCGGGCATACTCCTCTCCTATCCACACAAAGAGCTCTGTGTCAGCAGGTATGGCCTGGCAGACCCGGTAGTAGATATAACCCCTGTACTGGAAAACTGTCAGGTTCTGTTCATCCTCGGTAGAAGCACATGCCACGTATCTGCAAGCAGAAAGGGTGATGAGTCACACTCTGCGGATTGGGGCATGCGTCATGTTTGACTCGGTGGACGTACCAAGCAGTAACTGTTGCATACACCTCCAGGGAACTGCCAACCCACAGTCGGCAAGCAAGCCTGAAGCAGTCCCTGATGACTAAAGAACCATCTACCCAGGTAGGCATTCAGGTTTGTGGGATCAACATGAAGGTTTTACTAGGATCCCAAGATCCACCAACCACAGGCTGGGCCAAAAGTTACACATATGGAATGAAAGAATTCTGAGGCCATTAATTTGCTTATGAGTACTATTCCTAAATGGAGCCTTGAAGTTCTTCTACTCCTGATTACTTTAGGCCAGCCTTTTACACCTGGTACCCTCCACATGCTCTGCACTTGAACTGCTGTCTGCCCCAGCCAGTGTAGCCCATGGTTTGAAATGCTGGAGATTGTAGTCCAACATCCTTGCAGGTCACTAGGCTGGCTGCTGCAAGCTTTCTTCGGCAGAACACTCTGGGGCAGTGGCCACTGGCTATTGCAACTGCTAAACTGGGAATTAAAAATGAACCATTCCAAATCCCCTGGAGCTCTACTGATAGATTCAAAGCTGCCCCTGACCTGGGGTCTAACTCCAGCATTTTGTGGCGATCCTGGGCCCCAGTGGGGATCTTCTAAGGGCCAAACTTTGCCTAGGCAAAAAAATCAGCAGAGCAGTGTAAATTCCCCTCATTGCTCCTTTGGGCTTCCCTCCGAAACCACTCACCTCATCCAGTTGGACTTGGAATCATCAGATGCATCAACAAAGAAATAGGAGCCGTTGTCCCGCACCTAAAGAAGGGATGGCACAATCAACAGCAAGCCATATGCTCTACCCTATCACACAACTCCCACCCTAATCTTATGATTGCCCATAGGATCAAAGTGGGATTGTAAGCAGGTGGCCAGAGTCCTGGGCTTAAAACAGAACCTGGGGTTCCTTAAAGGTTAAGTCATAATCTGGGTGGAGGAAGATGCAAATGTGACATTTCCTTTGGACATCCCCCGCAACTCTATAGATGTGGTTCATATGACATGGCTTATTGTACCAGTGAGGGCTACTGTATTTTTTTGGGGTCTGCGGGCCTCAATTCTGCATGGCACTCACTCAACCTGCTGTGTGATGTCAACCCTCAAATAATTCTGAAACCTGCACCCAGCCCTCAATCCTTGCTGCCTGGATTTGCATATTAGCACAAGCCATGGCAAACTGGCTACCTGGGGCATCATTCAAAAATGGCACCCAGTACAGCCACAGCTCCTGCGGGCAAATAAGCTACGGTGGGCTGATGTATCATACAAACTAGGTCACAACAGAAGGCAGTTTGAGTTGTTTGAAGACAAGCCAGAGCCCAGACAGGAAGAAGCTGAACTGGTTAGGGAGTGCCACCTACAGTGTATCTAAAAAACTTCATATGTCTTAATACATGCAGCAGGCAATCTTCAGGCTTGTGGGACTTATATCTTTTCCCTTTATTAGAACTCAGAGATCAGCAACCAGAATTAGGTGCAAAATAGTGACTTGGTGGAAAGAGGGGCACAGCCAGATTCAAAATGGCCTGATGGCGTGGAGTCAATTCTGATACCCCACATGAACTGGGATGAGCAGTAAATATTCATACACATCAATATTTACTACAGGTCAGAGAGTCTAACAGCCAAACTTGTGTGCAGACGTCTACTTGTTGTTATTGTTAAACAAGTGGGAGTCAGAACCACTTGCAGCTCTGCTGCAAAGTATGTCATAATCCATCAGTAGATCCCAATCTATTTTCTTCCCAACAGATCCTAATTTTACCCCTACCTTAATTAAGTACAGTAATCCCCTGAAATTTGCGGGGGTTGCGTTCCTAGAGCACCCACAAATTGTGGAAAACCGTGAATTTGGTGCTGGCAATGGGCATGGGCCATGAAGGCGGTGCAGGCAGGGGGCGTGGGCTGGGCCGGGCTGGGCCAGGCGCGTGTGTGCGATGAGGCAGGGGTGGGCATGTACCAATCTCCATGTGAGCAAGGCAATGCACGGCGAGGCACCGGCTCACTCACAAGGAGATTGGTTTGGACTCGCTTGGAGAAAACAATCACCTTGCGAGCAAGCCGCCACATGGAAAATTTTGCAAAAGGCTGAGGCCGTGAACCCTGAACTGCGACTTCACGGGGGTATACTGTACTTTCCTCTACAGAGCTAGCTTATTGGAGAACCTTGAAAATGTGCTTTTCATCTCAGAGAGTGCCTTTGTTGCTATAGCAGCCCATAACATGTAAAGCAGCTGTTGGAACCACCATAGGTGCTTACAGATTTTTTAGTGTCATGTTAGCAGAAAGATGGAGACGTCTTCATCCCTCATTTTTCCCCCTACCACTTTTAATTCTGTATCTTATCCACTCCAGTGGATTGCAGGAAGTATTTACCAAACAATGCCTATGAGCCAAATAGCAGCCAAGTTGCCTTCCTGCAAATCTTTTGCCTGGCGACCTTGTGTGTTCTTGTTTTTCACAAACAGGCACACAATTATATAAAATTTTGTCTTCCTTCTGGGATTGTTCTTGGGTAGGCAAAAAGGCCATGCATGTTCTCTTATCCTGAAGCCCAAAACTGGTCATGATAGTGTGGTTTAGGGGTCAGGCTGTTGTTCTTACACTGGGAAGCTCTGGATTCAAACCTGCACTCAGACACAAGGCTTACTGGGTGACCTTGGGCTAGGTCATCAGATCTTTTTCAAGCTAAGCTGTGAGTACTTCCAAATAGGCAGCACTTCCTAGCGCTCCCAATCAAAAGTGATTGTGCTGCAATTCTTTCAACTTTCTATTTTTTTTCCTCTGGGTAAAGGAAAACAAAAACCCAGAAACAGCAGTGGAAAAACACAGGAGGGTTAGAAACTGAAGGTAATGTCTGGGCCCCACTAATGAGTCAGGCTGATTGCACGATGGTCTGAAAATACCTCTTCTCTTGGTGCTGCTGAGAGGCTGAATGGAACGGTTAGGCAACGCTCAGCGAGGATCAATAGCACAAAGGTGGAACAAATGGTGTTCATGAAAAAGATCCCATGTGCAGCCCCTGGATTCATCTGTTGCAGCTGCAGGCCTGCTGCCAGTCAGAACAGAGGACACTGGGCTATAGGTACAAAAAGTCTAAGCTGGCTTCCTGGATTCCTGTGCTGCCTGAGGTCCCTTGGAGGACAAGCAGAGAAACTTAAAATGAAAAAACAGCAGCATGCATTTAAAACAGAAACAAAAGGGTACAAACAGCCAGGAACAGGAACTTGCCTTCGGGAATGCACAGGGAAGTGGCTTATGTGTTCTTTCCTGGATAATTTGTCAGAGGCCAGGTGGGTTGGGCCAGAACTAAACTGAACTATCTATGGGCGCTCTGTCAAATGAAGTGAGGCAGGTGGCTTTTCAGTGGTGGCACCCTGAAAAATGATCTACCCAGAAAGTCTCTTGCACCTATATGGTACTATTTTAGCACTAGGTGAAGAACTTTTTATTTGCTTAGGCTTTTTAACCCTTCTGTTTTACATATTGTGTTGGTGCCTTTTTAGATCTTTGCACTGCTTCTGAATTTTACCTGATTCCTATTTTGGTTTTGATCTTATGGTTGTACACTATGTTTTATGATGCTATTGTATTTTATGGCTTTACATTAGTTATGTGAACTGCTCAGAGAACTTTGGCTGATGGATGGTATAGAAATGTAATAAACAAATAGTGGGCAGGGCCACCCCATTTTTCTTTCTGCAATCCCTTCTCGCTTTTTGACACACACTTGCTTCTTTCTTTCCCTTCCTTGTCCAGCCTCTCTCCCTTCTGGCCATGTGGGTTTGCAGGGGACGGATAGATTGCTCCTACCATCTGAGCTGTTCTCAAGCCCGAGTGCTGCTCACCCGATTTGGAGGATGGACTGAACTGAGCCTTTACATGCCAGAACTTGCAGACCAAGACAGGGGAAGAAATGTTTAAATTCTTGCTTCTTGCCTGTTCTGATTCCATTAATTATGTGTCCTCACCCTTCACCATTGATGCAATTAGCATTGTTTCAAAATGACTGCATGTAAAATATACAGTTGCCTAGTTTGCCACTATGAGTCAGAGGACTTCCAGAACTGCTTCAGAAAGTGGCAAGAATGATGGGGTGTGTTTGAAGTGAGGGAGAGTATTTTGAGGGGGATTAATGGCAATGTGCTTTTTATTGTAATTTTTTTTTGGACTTGGGCGCATAACCAGTGACATTTTTGGCTGCAACCGCATTTTTTCACTTTGCTCACAGTTTGAACTTAGAAGCATGGTTCCAACTGCAGAGCGATTTTATCTCAACTCTAATGTTCAAACTCTGGATCATTTGAAGTTAGAGTGGTTTGAACTATGAGGCACCACTGTAGACCAGCTCTTATTTCGCCAGTAACCTATTTTTTGGAAAGATGGTCCAGCTGGCATCACATCCCATATTCCATTCTGTTTAGTGTACTGCTTCCCTTTGTTAGGTTTGGGTACAGAGATTTCCCTGTTCCTTAGAAATAATAAGCAAATCTCATCAGCTGTTGGTCTTTTGATACTACCCATTAGGAAAATTATTCCTAAGATACAGCCTAAAGATGCAGGATGCAGCAACCTTGCCGAAGCTGAGTGGGTCTGTGTGTGGTCAGTGCCTGATGAGAAGCTCCTGGGCACCCTAGATATGCATTTTCCAGTTCCATGAAAGGCAAGCAAGGATTTAACAGCCATTTTGTAACCTTTACTAGAAGACCAGCTTCATCAGGCACTTCCTCTCCCCGAACTCCTTCCATTTTGCTGTTACAAGGACTCCCATCTAACATTAAGAATCATGGTTCAGTTTGCTTCCCCAGCTTTTCTCTCCCCTTTCTCTTTTCCTTTTGAGATTTGTCTTTCGAACCATAGCCTGCAGACAGCGACTGTCTGGATTTAGAGGACTTAGTTACTCTGACAGCCTTTTTGGAAGATGAATATAACAAACATTATTTAATTAAAATATTGTACTGCATTTTTAATATCAAGAAGCATTTACATTTTCTTGTTTGGTTTGTTAAAAAATATTCTGCAACCACAAAATATATGCCCAGTAAACTTTTTCTTAATGCTAAAATGTTAAGGGCATAATCCTATGCATGTTTAGACTGCAAAAAAGTCCTACAATTGCCAGTATTCCCCATCCAGCATGCTGGACGTTACAGGAATTTTTCTATTTAAACATGCACAGTTTGAACCCTAAAAAAGAGGGGATGCTGCAGGGAGCAGTGTCAGACCTGACAGCCTCAGGTATGCCTGTGCTGGACCAGGTGCTGAGGCAGAGCCTGTTGACTGCTGCTTCTACCACCTGCTGCTTGATGGATAGTCCTTTGGGGACCCTCAGAACTGCAGAGGTCATTGACTTTGGCACTCAAGTCCAGGCCCAAAAATGAATCTCCAGACCAAGGAGAAAGCTGAGCTAAAGTTGAGCGAAATTATGTCAAGTGAACACAAGAAATGTTACACTGGGGTGCAGAATCCCAGACTCTGGGATCAAATCTGGGGGTCCTAGGAGGGCATGTACCATTCCTCTGCCTGCCCTTTCTCCATCCACCATTGCTTGATGGTTTCTCACCTTTTGTATAGTCTCCCTATTCCAAAAGGTTGAACTGTCTCTTTTAAGGTTTAACTACTGGCAGGTAGGAGCTTTATGCTCAGGTATGGTGTTAGTTTTTGACTCTAACCTTTTTGCTTTTAGCCATGGAATTAGCCTCTGCCACCCCTCCACCCCAACATCTTCTCTAAAATGGGATCTGGTGCTTGGGCTAAAAGAGGATCTGCATGCTTGCTCTATGTTGTGGAGGACTGGGGGAAGAGTTGTGGGTCTTACCGCCCAGGAGTAACGGGTGCAATCACCATGTGCCCGGACCACTTCCCCCTCATAAGGTCCAAAGATGCAGCCACGGGGCAGGGCTGGGAGAGCACTCCAGACCCCAAAGCCTCCTTGAGTTCGCTCCTTGACCACAAGTCCCTCAGGCAGGGAAAGCAGTGCCCGCGATGGAGTCCTTTCTGGAACAGGTGAGTCAGCCACAAAGGTAGGGGGGCCATGCTGTGGGCAGGAATCCCGGAAATAAAGGCGGCAGTCTTCACAGACTGAAGAGAGGGGAAAAGAGAGATGCTTGCAAAACAGCTCTTGTTGGAACCCCCCAGATTGGTGAAAACCTCACATGATCATTGAGAGGATCACAGGTACGGGGAAGTCACTAAGCACCTTGGGGAAAAGGCAGGAGGTACTTATGGAAATAGAGAAACACATTGGCAAAAGCATCACAGCTCAAATCCAAAGTGAGATCGAGAGAATGACACATAAATGCATGCATTAAAGTATTTACACAATTGCTCATCCCAAACTGGCTCACAGTTTCTTTAAATCAGACATCCCCAGCCTGGTTCTCTCCAGATGCTTTTGATTTCATCTGCCCTCAGTTCCAGTCGGCAGGGCCCGTGCTCACAAATGCTGCGAGTTGTAGTTCAAATCATGTAGAGGGCACTGTGGTGTGAGAAGGCAGCCTAGCAACCCTGATCCTTAGTAACAGTGTCTCAAATACGTAACGTCCTGTTGCTTGTGGCTGCAAAGCATCCTCTACTTGTACAGAGGCAGATCTGCTCCTGGTGAGCACAAGGACCTCCTTGAGCCCTGGGCTTGCTAGCTTAGATCATGTCATAGATTGGAGTTGAGGTAAAGGCAGTCTGGGAAAAACAACCCTAGTTACCAGTAGTGAGTGAGAAGCATCTCCAGATAACCAGCCAGGGAATACAGTGGTTCCTCTCCCCCCTCTCTCTATCATTAGGGTACAAATCACTCCCACAGGCATTTGTGAACAAATGGGCAGTAACTTCTGTGGACTAGTTTGCCAAAGTAAAGGGACTGTTCAGGATGGGGCAGAGGTGAAAGTTTTACTTTTACTTACAGAGCAGCTCATCCTCTGAATGGCTGCAGGCATCTTCAGCTACCTGCATGGTGTGGTGGGGTGGGGAAGCCTGCTAATGAACAGGGAGGAAGGGTCAAGCCTCGTTATACTACAGTCTCATGCTCCTCTTCAATTCCTGCTACTCCAGCCCAAACTACCCCAACTTCTCTGTTGCAAAGCTCCTCTTGAGAGGGAGCATCCCCCCATCAGCGAAGCCCCCACTCCTTGCACCCCAACCAAGTTCAACCTGAGCTCTTTCCGAGGAGCACTTACTCTCACTGCCAACTTCTCCCATTATGTTCGATGCCAATCTTCACCTCCTCTTGAAAACCAGACGACCTTCAAGCATCCCCTTCCTCCAAATAAGGACCCCACCCACACACCTTACAGTCTCTCTGACAGACTCACATCCCCCACCTTTAGGGAAGCCTCTCCCTTTAACCAGGTTCCTAGTTGTTTTGAACTACTACCCCATTTACTACAGCCAATGTATGATTTGGGATGATGGGAATTGTTGTCCAAAACGTCTGAACAGCACAAGGAAGGCTACTCTAACCAAGGGTGGTATCAATATCCAATTGAGTCCCCCCCTCCATTATAAATCCCCTATACAGCATTCTCATAAACCAGTAATGGCCTTTCTCCCTGACCTTTTAATCCTATATCTAAGTACCATCATCATAATAAAAAACAATCAACTCTCCATATCAGTTATTACCCCGAGCCCCGCAAACCGCCCAACTGAGAGCTACAGCGATGATCAGCCCCCCTCAAATCAGGGCAGATTCTTGCCACTAAGTATCAAACACAGTGAACTGGGCATATTCCATACACCTCCTCGTCTCCACCCCGGTTAATCGGACCTGAGCCTTCCCCACAGCGCTGCTGCTACTCCCGCTTGCATGCGAGCCCCTCCAGACAAGCCTTCACCTGCGACACCAACGAATCAACGCTGATCCACCATCCCGTTCCGCCAGCAGCAGCCTCTTGCCCCCGACCCAGCCCAACGCGAAAGACCGCTCCTCATTCCCGGCCCGCCCCCCCAGGCGGATAATGAGGTCGCCCTGTAAACCGCGGGGAGGCATCGGCCCACGCGGGCCCCTCGCACACGCCGCCCATCTGGGAGGAGCTGGATCGATGCCGCTGCGGCAGCTCCTCCCGGCCGGCGTCCTCGTGGGAGGGAGGGAGGGAGCACGCGGGAGGGGGGCGGGGCGGCGGGAGGCTCCCCTCACGAGCGGCGCTTCCTGCGCCCTGCCTTGCCTGCCGCGCTCCTTCCTCCGCGGACGTGCCCGCCGCGCACCAACGCTCTCAACCGCGTCGAAGCTCCATCTCGGCCCGCGAGGGCGCAGCCACCTTCCTCCTCCCCCCTCCCCTCGCTGTGACAGCCCCGCTTCGCCAATCACCGCCCACCTGGCGGCACTTCTGGCCAATGCACGCCTTGTCGGAGTTCCTCCCTTAACCAATCAGGTGCCCTATATTTCTCTCGGCACGGCAAGGCAAGTTTTTCGAGTCGCAGCCAATGGTTTCTCTGGAATCAGGGATGGGGGAATGAGGCTTTTCCATGGCTTAGGAGACGCTGCTTCCCATCTCCTTGCCGCACGCACTCGCTCTTTTGGCTCTCCGAGGCGGTCACCTAGAGAAGCCCTTCGGCGGCCGCTGCCCCGCCCTCGCAATAAGAAAGAGCTCCTCCCCCTAAGAGAAGGGAGGAGCAACATGAAAAGAGAGGGGGTGGGGTCAACGCTCTTGCAGCCAATAGGACGGATAAGGCGAAGGTACTTAGCCGTGAAAAGGTTCAGGGGGAACATTTTTTGGGAGGTCAGTTCAGTTAAATTCAAATTGAAGAGATTGGATTAACGAGGAGTGACTGTTGGGAGGGAGTCTGGATAACGCTGAAATATATTCATAATATCAGTTTATTGTCATGAATTAGTAATATTATTTATTTATCTATTTAGAGAATTTCTATGCCGCCCCATTCGCCAAAGCCTCGGGGCGGCTCACAAACTTTTTTGTTACTTTTTGAGGAGTAGGTGCAGGCCACTGAATACAAAGGAGGTACTCATGTAGAATTATTTTTAGGCTTCCTTTATGGGTGCATAGCCTGTAAGATAAAAACTGCACCAAATGTATCCAATACAGATGAATGAAAACAATAAAACAATTAAGAAAGCCAAAATTTATGAACAAAATTAGTGTTCCAGATATCATGAGGGGCATTGAAAATAGGTTGGTCTTCAGGTTATGACATTAAACTTGGTTTTTCCCAGTGTTGTAATATTTGGAGCACATTCCTATGCAAGTTCAGACAGAAAGGAGTCTTGTAATTTGAGTTCAGTAGGGTTTTTGCAGAAGTAAGTGGTTATAAACCCACGCCTTTATTTACATACAGCTTTAGTTAGGTGTCATCCTACTGAAGTTAGACCTACTGCTTTTAATGAGTCTGCTTATGCTAGTTAAAAGAATGGATCCAACCCATGGCTTATATCCCACAATTTCAACTTTAAAAGCTTGTGCTTAGGACTGTTAATAAAGAAGTAAGATAAAACAAAAGCACAGTAAGAATACTGTACAAAATAAGTTCTAAAGGGCACAGCAACTAATCTGGGAAACTATAAATACTCACCTTAAACTTAATTATAAATGCTGCAGTTGGCAAGGGAAATCTTTAAAGAGGTATTTTGTTTGCAGAAGGTGTCCGTGTGGTTGTTAGTGGTTAAGAGTGCAGGACTGGGAGTCCGGTGACCAGGGTTCGCATCCCGCTAGTCAGAGACTCTCAGCTCAACCTATCTCACAGGGTGGTTGTTGTAAGGATAAGATTGAGAGGAGAAGTATTTAAGCTGCCTCGAGTTCCTGGGAAGGAAAAGGGGTGGCATGTAAATACAATAAATAATTAGAACGAAACTCAAACTTGTGTCCTATTATCTGATAGCAAAGTATGCTGATCTTTAATTTATAGAATAATTGGCTAAGGTCCATAGAATCATAGAATAGTAGAGTTGGAAGGGGCCATGAAGGTCGTTGGGTCCAACCTCCTGCTGTTGCAGGACACCAAGCTACACCATCCCACTCAGATGGCTGCCCAGTTTCTTTTTGAATGTCTGTAGTGTGGGAGAGCCCACCACCTCCCTAGGCCGCTGGTTCCACTGCTGTATTGCTCTGACAGTGAGGAAGCTTTTCCTGATAACTTGCCTGAATCTGAGTTGTCACAGCTGGACTTGATTATTCCATGCTTTGCACCCTGGTGTCAACAAGAAGAGATCTTGACCTTCCTCTTTGTGACTGCCTTTCAGATACTTCTAGAGGGATATCATCTCCCCACTCAGTCCTCTCTTCCCAAGGCTGAGCAAGCCCAGTTATCTCAGTCTCTCCTCATAAGGCAGTGTTTCCAAACCCTGGCTCATTTTTGTTGCCCTCCTCTGGTCCCTTTCTAATTTTTCTGCACCTTTTTAAAATCGTGGCGCCCAGAACTGGACACAATATTCCAAGTGAGGTCTGACTAGTTCGCATTGCAGTTGCAGACCTAGTTTTTCTTCCTCTTTATTGACTAAAGAAATCTCCTGGGGGACTATTGTTCCCTGACTTGGTGCCCTTTGGATGTGTCAAGATTACAGCTGTGTCTATTTGCAGGCATCACAGTCAATTACTAACCTAAAACGTTTTTAGCAGAGGGTGGGGGAAAGGACTTTGCCATGGCCTAGTCAACTTGAGAAGCAAATACTGGCAGTTCTTGCCTGCATTTTTTAGTGGTGATGGCTGTTCTATCTCCGTAAGGAGGTTGGGGGGGGGGGGGGGCTTTGCCAGAATCCTCTTCTTTTTTGTTTGGTTTTACTCTTGGAGATAAATCAGTTTGTGTGCTCCTCTCCTTTTTTAATTGTTGTTGTTATTGTTTTTGTTACTGTATTACATTTCTATCCTGCCTGTTTCCTCTTTTGAGGAACCCAAGGAAGCTTACATAGTCCTCCTCCACTCCATTTTATCCTTCCAACAACAACCCTGTGAAATGAGAGTGACTGACTGACCCAAAGTCTGATCCTCAGAGAGCTTCTAGTGGGGACCAGAACCTGGATCTCCCAGGTTCGCAGCCCAGCACTCTAACCACTATGCCTCTGGGGATGGGTTGTATCTTTGCTCAGCACAAGTTTCTTTCTGTGAAATTTACTGTGGGGGACAATGCGCCATTAGGACGTGGCAGCCCCCTCCCCTTGGTAGCCATTTTGTTGTGGTGCTTGTAACAATTTCTCAGGTAGCCCTTTCATGAGAAGACTCTCCCTCAATGTAGCATTCTTTCTTGTCATCTCATTTTGAAAGAAAGCGGGAGGCAGGGAGGTGAAATCTTTTTTCACACCCTTTGGAGTATTTTGGACCTTTATTGGAGGAGAAAATGACTTGGTAGCCTTCGTCGTGCTCACTTCCCTGCACTGCCCCTCTTTATCTGGTCTGTGTGTGTGTAGACTGGATGGCAAAGATAATGAGAAATTATGCTGTGCTGTCTAGTTGCAGACGACAGTTTTTAGATGGAGCTGATTCTTTTATTGCATTGACATACAGTGGTGATTTTTTATTACATTGATTATAGTGGCAATGTTGAATGTGTTGGCTATGGACTGGCCAGGGAGATGTATTTGTTCCATTAGCACCCCACCCCATAATCAATTTGATGGTAATCTTTAAAACAAATGGTCACCCATTTGTATTAATAGCCTTTCAGCTGTCCTGCCCCACTGCAATCATACATTAAACAAATTATATAGTGTCCATTTTTTTCTTGCTTAGTGGCAGCAGGAAAAAAGAGGTAGCCATTCGTTATGTTGATGACAGTAGAAGGGGCAAAACCATTCATTTACTTTTATTACAGCAAAAAAGGAGTGTGGCTGGTTTATTACCAAGCAGTCTAGAGGTTGGCACAGCTGCGGGACTGCTCCTTCTTCAGCACATCAGCTTTGAAACTTCATGGCTATAATAATATAATAATAAGACATAGAAAACGTAAATGGTAGGGGAGGGAAATGGCCGAAGATGCATGACTGCTGAACAAAACCTCAGGGTGCTTCCAGAGGAGGGTTATTTTGTGTGATTGCGCTGGTTCATTCACATCATTTTACTGGCCATTGAGACAACTTTGTCTTCAATTTGTGTGTTTTCTTATTTCTTCTTCCACCATTCTGTTCCCTATCAGGAAAAATCAGGAGGAGGAACAGATGGAATGGCTACACTATACCTTTTGAGTGGTAGTGCTGGGAGCCCTCTAACTGGAACCTAGGAAGAACCATGCTGGATCAGAGCAAAGGCCCGGCATTATGTTCACTCAGCAGCCAGCCAGTTGTGTCCTGCTTGTGGGTTCCCCAGTGACGAGTGCTGTTGCTCCCTCACTCTCCTCAGCGGCTGCTGTACATAGACTTATTGCCTCTGACACTAGAGGTAACATATACCCATCTGGACTAGTTGCTCTTGAGAGCCTCCTCCATGAATTTGCCTAAGCCCATTTCAGAACCATTCAAATTGGTGGCCATCCCTACCTCTTACCTCTTCATGAGTCACTGCCTTGCCACGGTGAAGGGGCTTGCATAGTGCAATGAAGCTATGAGCTATGCCATGCGGGGGCACCCAAGAGAGCTCTGACAAAAGGTGATCCACTGGAGAAGGAAATGGCAACCTGCCCAGTATCCTTGCCATGAAACCCCGTGGACGGAATCATAAAGATACTGGGGGATGGTGGAGGAGAGGAGAACCTGGAGGAATGTTGTCCATGGAGTCGCGAAGAGTTGGGCATGACTTTGCAACTGAACAACAACAACCACCACCACCTACATCTTATGAGTATGAATGCCATAGTTTGGAATGAGGAAGTCTTTTGTTTTATCTATCTTAAATCTCCCACCAATTAGCTTCATGACAGGACCATGAATTCTAAAATTATGAGAGAAAGAGAGAAAAGTCTTTGCCATTTTCTCCATGCCATTCATAACCTTTGTAGAAGTCTATTGTATATCTCCTCGTTCACCTTCTTTTTAAAGCTAAACAATCCAGGTGTAACTTTTCATGTAAGGGGAGTTGTTTCAGTCTCTCGATCATCTAAGGGTGTTAT